TGTGTGAACCAAAATCTACAATGAATTGCCACTTATTGCAAAATTGCGTTTCACTGTTTAAAGTTTGCAACTACCATAAGTAAGTTTATCACTTAATGCATTATTCAAACAATTCCGAACCGTTTTGGCACTTTTTAAATAAGTCATTGAAACAGGTAAAGGCTTAATCGTAAAATGCATTGATCTGTAAATCAAAAACGCCAGTTACATATCTATAACGTTGAACTGGCCTGTTTTATATCAGTCATATATTATACAGTTACATATTTATAACGTTAAACTGGTCTGTTTTATATCAGTCACATGATATACAGTTATATATCTACAACGTTGAACTGGCCTGTTTTATATCAGTCACATATTATACAGTTACATATTTATAACGTTAAACTGGTCTGTTTTATATCAGTCACATGATATACAGTTATATATCTATAACGTTGAACTGGCCTGTTTTATATCAATCACATATTATACAGTTACATGTCTATAACGTTCAACTAGCCTGTTTTATACCAGTCACATGATATACACTTATATATCTATAACGTTGAACTGGTCTGTTTTATATCAGTTACATGATATGCAGCTATATATATCTACAGCGTTGAACCAGCCTGTTTTATATCAGTCACATGATATACACTTATATATCTATAACTTTGAACTGGCCTGTTTTATAACATCAATCACATTACACATATATATATCGTTGACAAACAAGTAGTTACAATCTGGCAAACGCCTTTCATGCCTCGAAAATATTAATTTGTATATATAAAACCATTAAAAAAACATTTATATTCAGTTCGGACAAAAATACTCCCGTCAATTTTACTTTCATGTGTAGGTATATTCTGCTTAACATATACTTCGATGTAAGTTTATGTTAACGGCACTGGATTCTGTCCTATGTGTGATAAACATAGAGTTGTTATACACCATTTAAAACACTCAGTTAATGTAATTCGAGTTATAGGTTAATATAACATCCTACAAGTATTTTAGTGCAAGTACTTATCTATAGTACTCAGCTTTCTCTTCAGGATTTCAACTTTCGGGTTACCATCAGTGGCCTAACTAGACCTCGGGGAGTACATATAAAAAAATACATACATGGGACCCCTTAACAACTGTTTCTAGCTGTTGTGGGGGTGGGACTCGGAGAGCCGTGAACGTGGTCCAGCCAGTAAGACTGGTAGTTGCACCCGTGGTTATCATATGTAAAGTGGCCTGTGGCTAGTTGCTTCGACTTGTAGTTGAAAGGATGCGGGTTCGAGACTTCCTCGCGTCATGTCATTGTGTCTTTATCTCAATTACTTCAGTCTACTCAGCTATATAATGGGCACCAACGGTTAGCCGGGGGTTAACCTGCGATGGAATGGCATCCCATCCCTGGGGAAATGTGTCACTATTATCATCTGCTTGTGGCACAGGAAACCCTGCAGTGCTAAGCACCGGCTTTATGTGCCTTTCAGGCACGAAGAAGATTTACTTACTTTACTTTTACTTAGTTATATCTAAAGTCTGGTACCGAATTTATTCTCGAGAAGATTAACCTTCGGATTCTTATATCTAAAGTTTTGTTTGATGTTTTTTGTTGTTTTTTTTTCTTTTACTGCACGTTCTATTAAATCGAACAAGAACTCGTGGAGTTATAAGGTGATTGAAGTTACATGTACAGAAGGTTTAAGTTGCCTTCCTTGGAAATATCAGAACAATCTACTTATTCAAAAAAGATATTTATTGTTCTAGTAAGTATATAAGATCAGAAATGTTCTAATTTAGTAATAGAGCTATAAAACAGAACCGTATAAAATCGTTCTACTTATGTAAATTTTTTTGACAAATACATGTTCAAGACAGGTACATTCTTTGGGAAAGTTTATAGTATACGGTTTCTGGGGAATGTATTCTGGTAAGTATATCACAATATTATACGCTAAAGCTAAGTCCTCAATAGGTTTTATTTGCAGGATGCAACAAGTGGTTTATCTTGAACTACAAGAAGTGGGTCATCATCTTAAATAATGCTAGTTATGTAGTCTAAGAAGTGAGCTAATACCTTAATATACATTATCAGTAGATCCTAAATAGTAGGTTAACATCTTAACAGATCTTTTCTGTGAAACCTAAAAAGTTGGTTAGCACCTTAATCGACGTTATCTGTGGATATTCAGAAGTGGCTATAGCACCTTACGATCGTAAAGAGTGGATCGAAGAGTTTCTTCGATAGCTCTGACCTACAGGTCATAAAAGTTAGTCACTTTAAGAAATTGGTTATTGTTATCTTTATATACATAGTAAGTACTTCAATTATTGTTTATTAGTCACTTTAAGAAATCGGTTATTGTTACCTTTGTACACGCAATAACCAATTTCTTAAAGTGACTAATAAACAATAATTGAAGTACTTACTATTACCTTTATATACGTAGTAAGTACTTCAATTATTGTTTATTAGTCACTTTAAGAAATTGGTTATTGTTACCTTTATATACGTAGTAAGTACTTCAATTAAATAATTAAATAAAACGAAGATCAGGACATCAATGGACATTACTTATAGGAGTCATCAGAATGTCGAAAAGAGTTAACCAGCATATCAATACTTGCTGTTGATCAAAATTATTAACACCAAATTACCGACCACAATAGATTCTAACTGGTTAAAAAAACAAAACAATTCCACAATGGAAATGATGAATTATGTTTGGTCCGAACATAAGCAAGTCATGTTGGACTGAAACGTAAGTTACATTAAAAAATTGCTTTAAACCCACGAGTGCAAATTAATTATATATATATCTGAATAGTTCGACATACTTTCATGTTCAGTTTATATTGACTTTATGTCGGAACCTGTAACAAATACCTTATCACTGCTTTATAATTTATTGTTCAATGTTTGGAGTCAAAATCTACCTGATGTATAGTTAACAATGTAAAATGAATACAGCACGAATAGCCTATAATGTATTACGTTACAAAATGAGCTCTATAGTATTATTCAAAACGTTTTGCACACTGCGTCGTTTCACCTAATAAGTTTATCGACACTGAAAGAGCCAGTTAGCATCCTTTTCTTCTGAGCCATCGATTGTTCCACTATCTCGCACTATCCTAAATCTAAATAGCACCAAAAGTGTCGTATTGATATTACCCCGCAAAAAGGAATTCTAAATGATACTTAAAGAAACCGCTTAAATAGAGAGAAAGAGACTTCTAAACACTCTTAATGTGTGGTTTTCAATGTGGTTTCATATAATGAATAAACATATCATGCTCTGAGTTCTATGGGAAATGGGGAACTCATCAAATTTTACCGAATTGCTAGTTGGATTATAATATATGATGTGGTTACTTCTAATTACCTGTTAAACTGTCTGGCATTGTTAAGTGAGATTACGTCCTATACTTTCAAAGCTAAACACACACACACACACACATATATATATATACAAATAAACTAATCCAAAAACTTGTTTCTTTAAAGAAACTAAAGTACTGAGATTTTACAATCAACTGTTCCATAAACAAATATATTTTGAAATAAAATGTTATTAAGGTGTAAACTTTGGTTAACACGTGTACTAGAGATGCTGTGTATTATACTTTGACATCTGACGTAAAATATCATACAATGAAATATGTGTTACCAAAAACATGTAGAATCTACAGCATTAACAGATGTTTCAATCGCCATGGAAATACATTTTTAAACAATACATTGATGTTACTTGATAAATGAATAAGTGAATGTAAAAACTGATTACAATGAAAGTAGTTACGCGTTGTAACAACAATGATTTATTCTTTAAGCTATGAGGTTCGTGTGTATATACGCTAGAAGCACAATGATACAGTATGGTCAATGATGAATCTTCTTGTACCATATAGGTTTATAAACATTGTAGTTACACTATAAAAGAACATAACTAGAGACAAATGCTAAAAGTTTGTTGTTAATGTTATTGCTTGTAAACTCGGTGAAGTACTGTATATGCACACATTATCGTTACTGTTGTTTAGTAAATAATTTTTAAAATCATAAAATGAATTATGTTTGGTTACCGTTTCGATCTGTCATCATGGAGTTTTGGATCACAGCTAAGCACCCTGTGATATTACTGTGTTCTGAAGCCGAACATGCTCTTAACACGAACAATGAAAAGCTGTATGAATTATGTTTGGTTACCGTTTCGATCTGTCATCATGGAGTTTTGGATCACAGCTAAGCACCCTGTGATATTACTGTGTTCTGAAGCCGAACATGCTCTTAACACGAACAATGAGAATATCTAGTGTTGCAAATGTGAATATTTTTAATGCTTCTAAGTTAGTCGTCAACTGAAAGTAACAAGCAAGTGAACTATTATTAACTAACTAAATTCTGGCAGACTCCAGTTTACATAACAGCAGCTGAATGTGTGAAAGAACAGCTAAGTCAATCGCTGATGTAATTACACACATACACCAAGGCGACGTTGTTTTTTGACTTATGTAACATTTTGGAGAACTGCAAACTGTCTTATGACACTTCTGTCGCTTTTCTTAAAAACGAATACATAGATTTTCGGAGTTCCAACTCACGTCCTCACTAACTGGACATAATAGTGTAATTGGCTGGAACATCTGTCTGGGTTCATTCTTAAGTGTAATTGTTTTTAGAAATTTGAAGCACTGGATTTTACACTACTTCAGGACGATTCAATTTTTCGATGTTAAACATTAGTAAGAAATTTGTCACATACAGTAATTTTTGTATAATCCTTACCTTGGACATTTCCATAAGTTACGCCAGTCGTTTACAAATGACACTTGCTAGTGGCCCTTCCTGACTTTGGATATATATTTCTAATGTCAAACCAGGTGTAAATAAAGTAAGTTTCCACAAACTTTGCTAAGTTTACGCGATTTTGATACATGTTTTACTATTAATTTTATTCTTCATTATATCTAACAGATGTACTAATTGATTAAACTATCCAAAACTGTACCTCAACTCCATTCCACATATAATGAACATCATGCGGTGAAGGGTGCGAGGGCAAATTCACGTGGGCATGGTCAGCCATCATAGACATCCAGTGCACGAGGCCTGATGAGGGTGACACCGGGCGAACAGGGGCAGCTGAGTTGGGAGCAGACAGGCCCGGTGACTTAACATACGAGTCTGGAGTAGGAGGCCATACTAGAGCCGCTTTCTAAGTGGGTAAATAAAAATAAATTGTAACCGAAAAAAAAATTTAATTCTTAAACATAAGCTGACAAATTATAAAACAATGAAATCAAAAACTAATCTAATCACAATGGATAAATGTAATGAAGCTCTGAAAATAAAAAGTTGCAACTTAATCAAATACTATCGTGGGTAGATATATTCGCTAAACTTTTAGAAATACGAAATGAAATGTAAAAAAAATGAGCGCATATGTAACTATACACATAAAAGAAAAATGACAAATATAAATATATATTTATTATCCTAACCACAGCTAGAAATGTGTTAATAAATCCAACATTCCAGAGTTCTGAATTTTTTAATATTACTAAAGATAAAAAGGGCTTCAAACTAGAACCATCTAATGTTAAGCGAAATAAAATAAAAGAAGCAAAGGTGTTAATTGATTAAAATAAATTTGTTCGCCACACCAGTTGCGGTGATCCATTCCTCTTTCCCGCCCATTTACGCCACTTTTTTTTAAACCTTGATTTCATTCTGAAAGTTAAAATAAGAGGGACATGTTCCAGAAAATAGCGTAAAACTACTTTACCGAATACATGGACGCTGAACCACCAAGAACTCCGAGTCTGGGGACTGTATTGTAGGAGTCCACGTTTTTGCCCGAAAAATAGCAATGTTGACCACCGTAAAAACTCTCCGACCCTGTACTGGAACCCGACGAGGGTGGGGACCCCAGGGTAGCAGCTGGTGGGTAGCCGGGCTCGGCTAACCCGTTTTCTTGCTTTATCGACACGGCGTAAGGTGATGTCCGGGGATACCTCGGGAAGCCTACATCAGGATGGTGAAATTCCAAACAGGACTGCATGTGCATGAGAGAGTCAGAGCCAAAGTTTCAAGTTACACGTAGTTCACCACACAACGAGACGAATTCACACGCTACAAAGCCACGCAGAGCTAACACTGTCGCCTAGAGCAGCTTCCAACTTCTTTAAACGCTGCTCCGGACAAAACAGTGTGAATTGTCTGGCCACTGAGAGAGATCTGAACGGTGAGCCAGTGCAGTACTGTACTCAAAGTCTTGTGGACGAACTGATTAGCCGCGTGTCTTAGCCAAGAACCGCCTGCTGCCACTGATCGGCATGTGGTAACTTCTACGTGAGCAGTCGCCAACTGAGTCCGACTACATCGCGAGCCCCGCGGTAAACTATAGTGTTTTTTTCCTATTTTCAACTCCTTTCTGATGGACTCAATACAGTCATTTCAGGTGATGTGCTGTAACAGTCGAAAGCGCCACCGCCTTGAAGTACGTTCCAACTCTCAAGATGCCACTAGTGTCGGGCTCACGTCACGTGCGAATGTGCAGTAGCTTCTTCCCCGCCCTTCCACAGAACACTGACACCCCTCATCCTTTCCCCTCTTCTTCCACGTTCCCCTCCAGGGGCCTTCTTACCTCCATATGTGATGTCTTCTTACGTTTCTTATTCAACTCTCTGGAACGTACGAAAAGCGCTTACAATCCTAATAACAACAGCATTTAATTGCAATTGCAATTTCAAACGTTTGTTGTATTTTATAACATCCTATATCTTTTATTTATTGATTCATTTCTCCCCCACCCACAATCTCAACACATTTCGTAAAGAAGCTGATGAACCTATGATAAAAAGAACTTGTTGTGTGATTTGTTTACAATTTAAATATCACTGAGCGTGTTTAAGTCAGAAAAAATAAACCCCCACCAATGAAAAAAGTCATAGAAGTATAAAATATAGATAAGGTTTATCCAAAAAAATACTATTTTCAAATGTTTAGGGAGCGATGAATATCAACATATATATTATAGAATTATAATTCTTGTTTGGAACATTTATTACCTAGCATAAAAAATATATTATTTCACTGAAAGTTAAGGATATTAAGAAAAAATTGATAAAAATTGCACTTCTTAAAATGAGTTTAAAGGAAATAAAAGAACTGTGTGACTTTTTTGTTTTACTTGTTGCTTATAATGTAACTACTACAATATACAGTAATGCTTAAGACACCAGAGAAAAGCGCTACACATTTAGTGCATCATTAAAAACGTTTAATTCTTGGTACTCCAGAGAAGCAAATCACTTCACATTAGGGACTTAAAAGTGTAATTGGTTTATAGGTTAAATAGGTCAAAGCTTAACTTTTCGTCATTATTGTTATCCAACTGTATCGATTCGTAAGTGCAAGGTTTCCATGGTGAAGATTTAGCCAATTTAAATGGCGAGATATGGCCATTTACACTGGAATTATGAATCAAATGTCCAAACTTGCTAAAGTTATCATCATTCTAGTAAACACGTGTGTACATACACACATAATAAATTGCAGTTTCAGATTCAGATTTCTGAATCGTATTTATGTAAACTATTTTCGTCAGATTTTTAAAATGTTAACACTTTACGCTATGTGTTGTGTGCTTGTTTGTTTTTGAATTTCGCGCAAAGCTAAACGAAGGCTATCTGCACTAGTCGTCCCTAATTCAGCAGTGTAAGACTAGAGGGAAGACAGCTAGTTATCACCACCCACCGCCAACTCTTGGGCTACTCTTTTACCAACGAATAGTGGGATTGACCGTCACATTATAACGCCCCCACGGCTGAAAGGGCGAGCATGTTTGGTATGTGTTGTGTGCACTTGCACCAGTCTTCACATAGTAACGTTGGTGTTTATAATGTTTTAATTCAAAATTGTAAACATAAGTGATCTATGTAGATGGGCAACTATATGTGGCCTTGCTTTTATAATTATTCAATACACTATCAGAATCATTAAGCGCAAACAAACTAGGAATAGCTAACTACTAATACTAGAAATAAACAACCTTGATTATTAAGATACTTCTTCTGCTGTGGTTTATGAATGATGTCATATTACATAGCTCTCGATGACGGAGTACCTGATACTTAACTGCTGGCATTACTACACATGACTCGCTACTTAGCACATCAAAGAGATTATCTTTCATAAGGCTTAGCACATATAACGTGGTAAAAACTATATTTAGGTTTGCTGAAAATATTATTACAGTCAAAGATTGATAATATACGGTATGTACCATACACATATTTATGGCTCAACAGTTATAGCGCTAAAATTCGTGGTTCGATTGTCCGCGTTGGACAAAGAACAGGTACCTCTTTATGTTACTTTGCGCTTCGAACAACATTTTTTTTTCTCAATGAGCAAAGAAAGAAGGGATAACGAGGATATTTCTGAATGGAAACATGGCCTTTGATCATACTTACTTTACAGGAAATAAAGGAAATAACAGATTAGTATTGCTAAGTTATAACGAAGTAATTAAAACTTCTTTTAAGGTATAGTGGGCTGCTTGGCCCACAAGCACTGATTTAGTATGACAAAAATGCGGAATTGTTACGCCCAATGAACTAATTTTTTTTTCCTTCTAAAGTGGACTTGTCGGAGTCATTGTAACCAACTATTGTATTGTACAAAGGAACTAACTAACTGATTAAAGTTAACTAAAATTATGGGAAACAACATAATGCCGACTAAAAAAAAAACACCTACATATATATATATATATATAAATAAATAAATAAATACATAACGGTAATTTTTTTTATTGCAATGTAATCAAAGATGAAAGAAATATAGAAACAATACACAATATGCATATAAACTGCAAAGCACGTGCAACGATACTAGATATATTTAGAAACAATTAAACGAGCATGAAAAGTGTTTGCTTTCATAATTCACTATTACCTAGAATAAGGTACTCGTTGATTTTTCTGTAATATGCTTTTAATTGGTAGCAATAAGCCAAACTCAAAACATCGATAGGGTATGTCGATAGAGATATATATACATTATTTTCTAATCAACTATTCAAAGAACTTTTTTTTTAAATAATGTGACAAACAAAAATGAAACACTAATAACTAAAGAAAACTGACTCAGTATGACTACGGATGTCAACAATACATCTTGCAACTTTGATTATTTAGATTTTACTTTTAAACTGATACAGCTAACTAGCATGTAAAAGGAGATAACATTGTATTTTATAATTAAATAAAGGTATGCATTAATTCAGTATACCTTCGTCTACTCTAAAAATTACAGTATAACCTACTCTTTTTTTTTCTTTTCCCGGTGTCGAGGATAAGTGGAAAGGTAAACTTAACTAAGGATGTAACAGAACGTTCACAAAGTAACTAGGTTACTTATGACAAACTTTAATATATACGAATTTGTTGCTTCAATCGTTATCGAACATTACATTTTACTTTTCCAACCAAAATAATTAACAATGCATGTCCTATTGACTTATGTTGCTAATGGCGAAATAATATACATAGGATTAAGTACGTTATATTGAACGATTTTGAAGTAACGTGACAACTACAACCGATATAAATTTGCAGTGGAATGTCATGTATCAGAATTACGTTTTGACATTGCTTGGTGATTCGTGGGTAGTGTGATACCATCGAAAATTCATCTCTTTAGGAAGAGTATATAACAGCCCTTTCTGACGTAAAATATCCTTATATTCGAATCATAAAAAATCTGTTCATATCGGATATTTAGAATTTCCAAGACTGGTTTAACCTTTGAACAAAACTGTACTGAAAAACAAAGGAATATGGATCAACGTGGAGTATCACGGCCATAAAGGAAGAGACCAGAACAAGTCCTACCCCAACCATGATATGTAACGTACACCATTTTGTAGGAGGTGTGAATCCACGAACACAAAGGTCAGTACCAAAAGCCACCCACATGCCCCAGATAACAGTATAACATAACCAAGAACGATCTCCATCTGGAAACGAGACCAACAGACTTTGTGTTAACACAGATAAAGCTATTAGTCATATCTCCTGTTCAACTATTGCGTACCTCAATGAACTGGAGAATGGAATGGGTATTCTTGCTATTCCTTACAGTTGGAGTGTTGAAAAGGACGCTAAAAATTTGTCATCCACTTGAACTAGATACATTATGAAAAGCAAGCAGGGAGGAATGGTTTAGTTTGGACACGACAGCTTTACTATGGAGCCTTTTGCAATAGAAATTATGCTGCAGGCCTATTGTTAAGATACACAGTAGTCAGATAAAGCATGGCCAGACGTGGAAACATGGACTGTAAAAACATACTGAACTTCTGTATAATATTTCAAAATATCGCCATTTTAACATACGCCTATATAACATGGGCCTGGCATGACATGCTGGTTAGGACACTCGGCTCGCAATACTCAAGCTGTGAGTTTAAACCACATTACCAATCATGCTCGTCCTTTCAGATCTGAGGGCATTATGATGTGATGGTCAATCCCACTTTTCGATGATACAAGAATAGCCCAAAAGTTGGCGATGAATGGTGGTGTCTTGATGCCTTCCATCTAGTCTATCAGTTATACATTAGGGATGGCTAACGTCAAGTAGCTTTGCACGAAATTCAACAAACAACAACAACAAAAACCTGTGTAAAACTTTAAAATATCACCATCTTAAGTTATTTCTGTGTACAAAAAACACGCATCTATAAACCACCTCAGATTCTCATACTGGCAGTTTCTATTTTTTGGTTAGGATTGGTGGCATTTATTGAGCTGTTACTTATGTTATAAAACCAGAAAAAGTATCCCCATGTAGCGGACAATCGTGTTATAAAGAAAGAACCACAATGAAGTAAAATAAGGAAGTAAACCATGTAATATCTAAAGTGTTGGAAGACTCATAAATTTTCAGAAAGGTTTTTAGCCTCATTACGGTGTTTCAGTGTCATACAATGAGAGCAAAGAATGGGACATCAATAAAACATTATATTCATGTAACTATTTTTAATGGCGTTCATGTCGTATTGACATTTACATTCGAAAATACTAATTTATGTCTACAGTGCTGTGACTTTCTTGAATAATTCTAATTTTCTTGCTGTTTTTCTGAAGAATATTAAGATATAGCGAATCATATTTTGTTAAAAGTAATATATTTCACTTTCTAATAAGAATCCAATATGAGTTCAAGTAGGCTTAGTTCTGATTTTAGTTGATTATCTTGATTCTATGTTCCCTAAGTCAGAATGAAATTTAATCATCTGTCCTTTTTCTAAGCCTGCTATATTATTTTCGAATGGATAAATACAATGATACAATGTTTATTACACACACACAAACCTAATTAAATCTGACGACCCGTCATGCCCTATAGAAATTGTCCATGTCACTGCTTAGCGTTGTACAGGCTATTCAAAATTAATTCTAACCACATTTGATTTGATGTTGTTGAAGTTTAGGGAAGTACTAAGGTCACTGTGCTCAAAAAGTATTAATCTTATACATCTCACAAGTAGACCTTTCATGAATCTGGAATGGGTTGGGTCAGGCAGGCCCCTGGGGCAATTGCCCCACCTATATGTACGTCATTGCACGTAACTACTTTTGCATACCTTGTACAAGGAAGTCAGCAAAGGAAATCATTTTAAAGAGAGGATTTGGTAAATTTGTATGATAAACTATAAATTAAAGACATATAAAATTATTCGAATTTGTTCCTGTACTTGGTATGGGTATCTGGAAGTTCATTATAATAACGTGAATAGCAGCACTGTGATTTTAATCTTTATACTGGATACAGATCCCAGAGGTTGAATTGTGGTAGAATCTTGAGGATTCAAAACATTAGCGTTTCTAGTCTTCTGATTAGATCACG